GCTGCTCCCGTGCCCGCGCTTCGCTTTGGCCGCCGATTTAGCTCCTCTGGGAAATGTCCCCAACTCACGGCCCCTTTCTCAACACGCTACCTGCACAAAAGCCCTCCCGCAACACCCCCACACACCCTCCACACAAAACGACCCCGACAGCACCCTCGCAAGCCCTCTCCACAGCACCAGCAGTGTGCGCCTACGGCACCCGTTCCCAGTTAGTCCCACATCCAAGTACTAACCGGGCCCAACCCTGCTGAGACTGGGTGTTTTCAGGGTAGTATGGCTGTAGACAACAGCCCTCTTCACTGCGCACCCTGCACACTCACTCCCCACCCCACTGTCCTTATGTAGTCCCCTTCTCTTTTCATGTCCTGTGTCACTGGTTTTTGCAGAGCTGAAGCAATCTTACCAGAGAGAACCAGGATCCACCTGGTTCTACAGTTCTGTTTTGCGCAGTGTGGCTGTCACACGGTGTATGCAAGTGCAGCTCACCCCAGTTACAGTCCTGTTTAGGGTGACTTTTCCTCACCACCTTCCTTCTTTCTTCAGAAGGTGACAAGCTGTGCGGGTGCAAGGACACGGCTTCTGCTCAGCTGCGCACAAGCAGGGTCAAGGCCTGGTATGCCTCCGCAAGCACTTGTCAAAATGACTCTTTTGGGGCCCTTGTTGGGGATGGGAATGGCACAGGACCCCTTGCGCTGTTTGGCAGGAGATTGCTCGCCTCCAAGGCTAAGCGAGTGGAGGCCACAGCATCATGGGCTCCGCATCCTGCAGACTGTGCAACAGCCACACGGCATGCCTCCTCGCTGGTGGCGCACGCTCTGCCCCATGATGTGCTAGGACCCCGGGAGGGTAAATCCCATCAGCCACAGCCTTAAGCTGCCTTATGGCAGTATTAATAGCTACTCAGAAAGAGGGTGAGCTGCTGGCCAGTGGTGACCCCACAGGACCCATGGTGGAGTCACCGCTCCCTGGGCACCTTTAGGGTCCCCGGCCAGTGAAGTCGGGGCGGGGGGACACCAGGCGGATCCTGCCCATGGGGCTGCCTGTGAGGTGATCCCTTCTGTGGGGTAAACCCTGCTGTGAGGTGATGCGGCCAGCGAGGCGTG